CAATGTCACCCATGCTAGTTTGTCAGGACTATGATCCTGCGTTTGAATATTCTGTTGCAGTTTTTCTGAGCGAAAGAGCTCTGCATACCAGTGGGCAGTAGCCACTGATCTCTATTTATTCACTCGATTGCTGAGAGGCCGTTGTTAGTACAAAAGGCTGTGTAGTCGCCAGCCACCATATTGGTACTCCCTTATTAGACCCGTCGGAATGTAACTAATAAGTGCCCTACAGCATCGAACAACGATGATGTTCTCATTTTCAGGGGGCCAAAGACTTTTAAAACAAAGATAAATTCATCATTTGATACAGACTTGCTGTTTTATAGCATCAGTAGATCACTGTCATTTATGGTAAAAAAAATAGGCAAATCACATTGCATATTCAGTATGAAAGCTATGAAGTCTATAAATTATGTAATATAACATATACTGATTCATCACAAAGAAATGTGTGCATAATAATACTGCACCTGTTATTAAGAATAATACACACACCCACACTATCTGATGAAGTGCAAAAACGGCTCAATTGGTGATACACATGTATATACATGTATATACAATGAACCCTCGTTTATCGGGGAGGTTACGTTCCAAAAAGAACCCGCGATAGGCGAAATCCGTGAAGTAGAAACCTTTATTTTTTTTTTACAGTTATTATACAATGAAATACTCCATAAAACATTGAAATCAAGGAACAAAAACTTTTTACAGGCCCAAGCATTTGTTTAACAAAATAAAAGTATTGTACGTTTGTTGTTGGGTTTTTTTTTGTTTTTTTTTTTACAAATAACTACTGTACTGTACTGTAAAATACTATAGTTAAAAATAAATAAATAATAATTTTAATCATTAATACGAACTAAAGGGTTAATATTGTGGGGATCAGCACCACCCCGTCATGACGGATTGGAACGGGAGAAAATGAAAAATGATTATGAAAAAAAATACAAAGTACAGTAGGACAAATAGTGACTGACGTGTACAGTACAGTATTTCACTGCTGTTCTGAAGGAGCCGCTGCATCCTGACGCGTTTTTTTCTTCTAAAGCCTGCTGTGCAGGTGTGTTTTTTGGAGAGAAGAACATAGTTAGTTGTTGTCGCTCTTTTTTCTTCTGCGCCAGAAGATCCTTATAAACATGCCACCATTGATTATGTTCGACAATAAAGTTTAACAATGCATGATGCAAATCTGTGAAGGAGCGAGACCGTGAAAAGTGAACCGCGTTATAGTGAGGGTTCACTGTATATTTCTTATGGTATTTACATTACAGTAAAAGCATTTTTATGGTCCGACTCCGTCAAAG